CAACTACTGAAAGTCAACTTTGTACCCCACATACATGTATAATAAATTATCTTTAAAAAAAAGAAAAAAGCCCTCAGTTATTACTATATGCAGCCATGGTTGAGAGCCATTTTCCTAAATAGGAATTTAATCCAATGAGCATTTATAATCCCAACTAGGCTAGACCTAAGTCTTTTGCTTCCAAACATGAGTGACTGTAGAAGAGAAATATTTCTAACTAGCAAGTAATCTCCAGGTGTAGAAAAGGGAGAAGAGCATAAACTGCTGGTTCTTTCCTAAATGTATATCTGTAGTGGACTGAATTATGTCCCCCCAAAACTCATTTAAGCTTGGAATGTGTCCCCCAAGTTTTATGTATTAGAAACTTGTCCCCTTGGGCTGGCCTGGTGGCGCACTGCTACAGTGCGCCGCTTGGGAGCGTGGCGGCGCTCCCGCCGAGGGTTCGGATTCCACATACAGACCGGTTCCCGCTCACTGGCTGGGCGAGGTGTGGGCGCGACACCGAGGGTTGTGATTCCGTTGCCGGTCCCGGTCCGGTCTTGTCCCCCGATGTATTAGAAACTTAGTCCCCCCTGGGACTGTTAAGAGGGTGGGAAATCCTATTATGGTAATTGAAAGGTGGAGCCTTGAAGTAGTGATTAGATTGTAGGACCGTGCAATAGTGAATGGATTAAAAATGGTGATCAGGGATGTGGTTCTGAGAGTTTAAAAAGGAGAGGGGAGTCTGTCTCTGCTCTCTCTGCTTCCACCATCTTTAATTGTAAGACCCTCTGGGTCACTGTCACCACCATCAGATGGACTTTGGACTTCCCAGCCTCAGAAACTGTAAGCAATAAATTTTATTTTCTTTGAAAATCACCCAGTTTCAGGTTTTTTGTTATAAGCAACAGAAACGGACTAATATCTAATCATACAATGGAAATCAGTTGGAAAAAAGGGTTTAATGTTATACCCTGCTTTATAAACATCTTAGCAAGTATATCTATGCTTCTGTAAAACAACGAAAATAATGTTTAATTTTGAAATAAGATATTAACAACCAATGTCTACTTGAAAGTAACTTTGTGGCTCATTTG